TTCTCTCCAGTGTGGATTCTCCGATGTTTTCCAAGGTGTGAACTTCTACTGAACATCTTCCCACACTCATTACACTTGTAAGGTTTCTCTCCAGTATGAATTCTAAGATGACTTGTAAGATAAGATTTTTTATTGAAGACTTTGCTACATATTTCACAAGTAAATTGTTTCTCTCCAGTACAGATTTTCTGATGTATAGTAGGGTGTGATTCTTGATTAAAGGATTTTTCAAGCTCATTACATTTGTACGGAGCTGTAGGAATGTTTGTTTCCGGTTCTTCTACAAATGATAAAGAATATATAAGATCATGTTCATATTTATGAGAAATGTTTGCTTTGACAATAAAAGGAATTCTTTGATGGGGTAGTAGGAAAGAAACATTGAAAGAGGTAAAATAAGCCAGACTCAAAAATTAAGGGTTAAACTGTTGCTCTCATATATAGAAACTAGTCAAAAATAAAGGAGAAAAGGCAGTTGAGGAAGTGACTGGATACAATAAAGATACAGAGAAGATCACGGGGGGAGGGGAGAATGGGAGGAAAAATGAAATGAATTTAACAAAATCATGTTACATTACTATATAAAGATACCAAAGGGGATGTCATCCTCATGTATACATAGAGAAAGTTTAGAGGAGGGAGAATAGGGATAAGGAGAAGAGGAGGAAAAGAAGAAAGTGGAGCTTGAAACCAAATTCCTTACATGTAAAGCCCAGGAAATGGACTTCACCTTAGCCCTGACCCCTCCCATTGCCAAAGCGCCCAAACTCTACTTAGTGGGCAGCTGCCTCTCTTCCCCTGTGAGCTCTTACCTGCTTTCACACACTCCACAAATGCCCAATCATTTGCAGGCCTGGATATTTCCTCTGGGCCATTCACAGTCCAGGGCTCCCTCCCTTGCTCCAACCAGGAGAGGACACTCGGGTCTGAAGGACACATTCCTGCTTGTAAAGAGAAAAGAAGCTGATGCACTGTGGCTTCTCCACAATCCAGCCCTATGTGCACGTGAGGAAGAGGATATTACAGAGGGATACAGAAAATATTTCACTATATCATGTAGGTATCTAGCTCTCTTCCAAGAACCACTGAATCAAAAGCACAGAAACAGAAATATTTTAAGAGTGGGCTGTGGGCTTTATGTTGTGCTTCAGCTCTGGAAACACCACTGCAGTATCATGAAGGGGGCAGAACATCTGAAGAAAGGGAACAAAGTACAGCGGATATACTGTGGAGCGTCTTTCACAGGCAACAGGACTTCAATAAGTCAATGTAGAGAATCCCAAAGACAAAAGGGAAATGCTACGATATACAGGGCAGATCCCAGCATCAGGGGAAGTCAAGCTCACCCAGGGAGACCAGGTTCCTGTAGGTCTCCAGCATCACGTCCCTGTACAAAGCCCTCTGAGCAGAAACCAGGCACTTCCACTCCTCCTGGGAGAATTCTATGGCCACATCCCTGAATGTCAGTGGACCCTGAAATTAAAACAGGCTTCACAATGGGGCACTGGGGACAGTTACAATCTTCATCCAAAATGTAAACCACAGAACCCAGGCATGGTGGCACATGCTTGTATCCCAGCTATCCCCAGGCTGAGGTGGGAACATTGTAAATCGGAGGTGGGACTGGGAAACATAGCAAGATCCTCTCTGAGAATGAAGAACATAGGAGTAGGGATGTAATGGCAGAGGGGGTCTAGGTTCAACCCCATTACTGCAAAGAAGTAAACAAAGAGAAATGAGAAGGGAGGAGAAGTGTAAGCATGCAACTGATTCAAGTGAGAAGAGCTGCACTGTGAGGCTGTAAACACACATTTGGTATCTGTCTGTCTGCTGATGTGGAGCTCACCTGGAATCCATGGAGAGCTAAGAAAGAGTTGTGTGCTAGTGACACGACAGGTGCCAAAGCCCCCTAGAGAGCTTCACGACGAGGCTTCTCCCCACAAAGCCACAGGCAGGAGAGGCAGTTGTAACACAGTCCTGCCATCCACCTCCAGGGAAGAGAGAGGGACTAAAGTCCCAACTGATCACCATCACCCAGGATGTAATCAAGCCTGCCTACATAAAGGAGCCTCCATAAAATCTCAACAGGACGGGGTGAAAGGGTGTTCAGATCAACGCGTGGGTGGAGGGTCCTGGAGGGTGGCGCACCACGCAAAGTCATGTGAGCTCCACGTCCTTTGTCCCACACCTTGGCCTATGCACCTCTTCCATGTGCGTGTTCACCTGTCTCTTCTGAACAGGTGTTACCACAAGGCAAATGAAAGTAAAGTCCTTGACAGTTTTAGGAAGCAGTCTAACCACTTTTTGAATGTGAGGGGATGAAGGAAGCCCCATTTATAGAAAGTCATTCTGAATCATGGGCCATACTTTTGCAGGCCTCTGAAAAGGGGCCCATTTTGTGGGACAGAGACCTCAGCTGGTGGGATCCACCATGTATCTACACAGTGTCTGAATTAGGTGAAATGACAAGTGCCCTCTGAAGAACTGCATTCTTGGCATAAGGGCAAAAACCCTCACTTATTTGGGATCACAGAAGCTTTCTGTGTGCAGAGGGTATATAGGGAGAAACTGAGCTTGCTTTCCCCGTGTTTTCATATATTCTGGTATTTCTGAGAATGTTATACCTCCTAGTTGTGTTTTATTTTCATTTTCCTAAGACAAGATACTGCCTAAATCTGTACAGATTTCTCCCCTGCAGGAAACACAAGAAACATAGTACCAGCCACAGTGGTACACAGCTGTAATCCTGACCCAGGAGGAAGAGGCAAGAGAATTACAAGTTCAATATCACCTCAGCAATGAAGCAAGACTCTAACTATAAAAAAGAAAAAAACAAGACAACAAGGATTGAGGATATAACTCAATGGTAGAAGGGCCTGATTTCAATTTCTAAGAAAGAAAGAAACAGGAGTCAGGATGCTCAGAGTCACTGTGTTCAGAGACTGTGCTGCAGGACACTGTGCAGCCAAAGCAGTCCATAGGAAAAAGAGGTCTGTGCAGAACCAACTGGAAGTTGGGGCTGAAGGTAGACAATTCACATAAAAATTCATAAAATTTAGTTATGGTACTGGACAATGAACCCGGGTGCTTCACCACTGAACAAAACTGCCAGCCCCGCCCCCCAACTCCCTGCCTTTTTTTTTTTGTTTGTTTTTTGGTTGTGGAAGACTGACACCAGGACAGTTACCACTAAGGTACTACACATGTCTATTTTTTCATTTGAGACACATTAGGTCACAAATCTTAACATTCAGTTTCAGAAGCTAAAAACGATCCCAATTTTCTTTCTGTGCACAATGGAATAAATACAGAAGCCAATTGCAGAAGAAAAATAAACACCCCAAAATAAGGGAAAATGAAACACCTCATTCTTAACCAACCAATGGTAAACAGGAAAAGGATTCAGAAAATATCTGAAACAAAAGCAAAATTAAAAAAAAAATACACCAAAACTGATGAAATGCAGTGAAGAAGAAAAAAAAAACAAAAGAAAGACCTTAGGGTAGTGAAACTTTACAACAAGGAGGAAGGAACCCAGTCAACTAACCATACACCTCCAGGGGAAAGAGCCAACTGAAGGCAACAGAAGCACAAGGCAGGAAACAATGAGCACTAGAGCGAGAGAACTGGTGTGGAGGGCAGGGACACCACCAAACAGCACACTCA